ACTGGGCTTTGCGGATTTCCTAGTGGAGGAGCCGGTGTCGTTGAAAGATGTGTCATTGCTGTGTGATGGAGTGCCAGTGCAACTGCCTTGCAATGGGGATCTGGCTGATATCATCATCGTGAACATCCCTAGCTTTGCAGGAGCGGTAGACCTCTGGAGTTCAACAAGTCCGCATTCTCGTGGTTATCGGCGACAGAAGGTCGATGACGGCATCATTGAGGTGGTGGCTGTGAGCTCTCTATTCCATCTTGGCAAGGTCCAAGTTGGGCTTTCCTCACCTTATGCTGTTTGCCAAGGAAAGGAGATAACATTGTCACTGTCGACTGGGGCCCGCTTACCGGCTCAGTTGGATGGCGAGCCGTACTCTTTGCTCGGCCCTTGTGAGCTTACTGTCTCTCGTAAGGATGATGCATTGATGGTTGAACGATGATAGCATTTCTGACCTCTGCTTTTACTGTCTAGAATTATAATATTATACACCTGAGAACTTTGGCTTGAGTGAGTTAGCTCAATAGAGGGTACCATGGTGGTGGGTGGGGTGCTTCACATGACACGGGTTCGATCCCTGGTAGCGGTATCTCGGTACTGGACGAAACCGACAAAACCGCACCCACAAGATTTAAAGGTATTCACACAGCTGCAGTCGACAGGCACACCACGGCATGCCAGACGCTTCTCTCTCGATTCCGTTTTGCTAAACTCTCTATGTACGGTCCTAATGACTATTGCATTCTGGGTATTGCTTAGTTCTACCTCTGCAAAATGGGTATAGTGAGTTGAGAATCTTTGGTCGTATGTCCATCTCCGTATCTTTGCCCGTGCGTGCTGACCACGCCTTCTTTATTGCATCTTTAATTGATTTGATCATATCACAGTCTATCCATGGAGCAGTCTAACAGCTTGAAGGTCTCCGCCGACGATGCGAGTGTCGAGTCTGAGAGGCCCTTGCCTGAGCTCGATGCGTTCACTTCCAAGCCTTCCGCTACTCCACGGCCCTCTATAGACTACGGTGCTGGAGGGACTCACCCTGATGTGAAGCGTCCGAGCACTCCGCCTAGCCCG